TTGTTATGATCATTCATGACTCTATTGTGATTCACATATTTAATTCTAAGAAAATTGACTTAAAAAACTGCTTACAAGACTTTCACGTAAACTTAATCGATACAAGTCGCAAAAAATACCTCTTTAACTTCAGAAAGTCATGAAATGCTTTCCATGTGACTCTCAAGATATCAAAGTTGCGACAAAGTTTCTCAGTTATTTTAGTCCCAGTAAAGTATGCTGCGACTTATACCAAGGAACAAAAATCACAATAAATAGTCATAGAGAATTTTCTGTGATCTCACAAGCCAGAGTAGCATTAAATTCGCATGATGACCACCTTGGGATAATTCAAAACTGTCACACACTGTGACCATTTTTGACTTTCTTATGACATCGCTGAGACAATCTGTGGTACCAGGACAGTAAGCCAAATTTTATTGCTCCTGGCCGGATGGTTCAAGAGTCAATAAAGAATAGACAGACATACATCCACTTTTAGATATAGATTTCTGAATTTGTTGTTCTATATTTGGAAGTGTGGGCTCGACCTTCATAAGAAACTTTCGGCATCAGATCTTTTTATACCCTTCTCATTTATTATTCTACATAGCATCATTCAATTCTCGTTAAAGAAATTTAGCATTTTATGAATTTTGAAATAAACCGGTTACAAAGCTTTTCTTCCTTCACCTGTTGAAAATGCATTCCTTAATCTTTTAAAGCTTTTTGTTTTTTTTCAAAGAAAATAATCTGAACCCTTTTTGGAAGTCAAACAAAATGCAAGGCAAGGCTTCTCAATAACAGTTAGTATTTTAGTCTTTATTTAGTAAAAATGCAATTGGTAATTACTTCTTGTTAATAACATGCCATAATTTTGCTTAAACATGAAAAAAAAAATCACTCATTTGTATTTAAAATACTGCTCAATGTTTAGAAGAAATTTCTTTTTAAATTACATTCCTTTTTTTATTACTCCTTGTTAAATTTTCTTCAATTTAATAATAATTTTTAAATAAAAAAAAACCACTCTATGTTTCGTTTTTCTATTATATCATGAATATGTAATATTTAAGGAAATAAGGATTGACTAATTTTTTAAGTGCTTCTGATCTATGTAAAATAAATAAATTTTATAATGATTGCTTTAAAATCTTAATAATAAAATATAAAAAAAATATCTCCCTGAAGTGTAAAATTGGAAGTCCGTCTCTATGTAATTATATATATAAATAACTCTAGAACAAGAAAATCGATTTGGATTCTGTTACTTTGAGCTGTTAGAAATATTGCTGGGGTGGTTCAAGAAAAATCATTATTTTTTTTTCAAAGCTTGATACTTTCTTCCAAGAAAAAATCCTTACTTTCTCTTGTGGAATTTTTTTTTGGAAGCTTAGCTTTTTGGCGTTTATTAGCCGTTTAGCAATATTGAAATTGCTTGTTTTTTTGTAGGGCAGCACAGGCTGTGATGAAAACAGCATCACAAAATAAATAGAAATTTACTTGCTAAGAATTCAATAAAGTCAAAGTTTTATTTAAGCATTTCCCAAGCGTAAATTGGTAATTTTGTTTTACTTATTCCTTTATATTTCCATTAGCAAATTCAAAATTATAGGAAAAATCTCGCATGTACAGGAAATTTAAACAATTGTTCAAATTTATTTAATTTTTCTTTAATTCTACTCAAAGTACTTTTAATAAATGTGTAAAGTTGAGAAAAATTCATAAAACTTAAAAAAGAAATATCGGTTTAAATACTTGTTTTCCGTTGCTCTATCAAAAAGGAAGAAGAAAAAAAAGATAAAATAATTCTAAAAAAATGAGTGCTTCAAACTTGATCATGGTTTTAAATTACAGAATTCTTACTGAAAAAATGGACAAGATTTTAAAATGGCTGATTAATTAAAATACATAAAGAAACTTTTTGAACAATAAAAATTTCCAATTTAACAAGATTTTTAAAAAATAATTACTGCATATTTAAAAATAAATTTTTTTTTCAGTGAAATTTTTTCACCCAAATAGAAACTATGAAAATCAATGAATAATTTTCATTTTTGCATATTTTTATGAATTCAAAAGTGAAGTGCCGAAAAATGTTTAGACTAATTAAATTAGATCAGAAATACTCTTTTTACCACGTTTATATAAACTTGCCTTCGTGTATGTCTGTCCGGGTGGAATTTTGNATATTTATATATATATATATTCTTTAAATGATTTTTTTCTTCCGATTGTCAATTTTTTTTAATAATAATATCCTTCAAAGAAACATGAAATCAATCTAACTCCGTAGAATAACTAGCAAGAATGGCGGGCTAAAAATTATCACAGCTAGTTTGATTGCTTAATGACGCTTGGAATCATTTCTAATAACTACCTTTCTACTCCTCTCTGTTTCATAATGCAATCTAACAAGTTTTGGTGTTTTCAATCCCGCTTTCCACTATAGTGACCCGTAAGATTTCAATAGCATTTGTCTTTCTTAAATATGATTTTGAGACCCCTAATCTATATACTTTTTTACTTAATTTTAAAAACGGTTTTTAAAACTAGATATTAGGTGTGGTCATTTCTCGGAAGGAAATGTTTAGATATCTAAAAATTCATAATGACCAAATTTGCTTTCATCAGGTCTTGAAGAAATGAAATCAAAGTGATAGCCAAACAAAAATCTATTTTAACACCATTTAAAAGTGGCAATTAAGTGTATAGATTGACTTTAACTTAAGCGCAAAAGACAGATTTGTTTGACAATGCTGTCTTTTAAATCCCCATTAATATATAAATGAAATAATGTTTAGTTTATTAAGCCATCTGGGGTGATATTTAAAATACAGTTCATTTTTATTGATAATTACCAAAACTGATGCTCTATATCATTTTCTCTCAACCGTCTGTCTGCTGACCGATATCGGATCGCAAGCATTTCCCGCAGGTTCACAAACACTATTACTTTAAAGTTATAATTTATTCTTTCTTCTTACTTTTTAGTAAAAAGATTAAAAAAATAAATAAATTAAAAACACTAATTAAATCCAATTTTTCTCTTCCTGTAGCTATTTACAGATCCCTCGTCATAATATTAAATAATTATTAGGTTAATTGTCATAAATTGTTGCAACTTACCTGCTCTTGATCTAATGAGCAGATATTTGCACACTGCAACTAAATGTTAGCAATTCGAGGCCCTAATCTTAAATATGCAATTAAATAAATAATTAGTTATAAAATCAGACACAAAAAAGAACTTTCTCTAAATAAACATAAATTTTTTTTTGATGAATTTAGTTTCATGGTCCTTAATTTTGTGAAGTAGCTGCAGTCAGGTCCCATTATTTAAGGCAGGAGAATGATCAATAGTTTTTACTCCTTGAAGTTAATTTTATTTTTGGATCATTNATAGTGACCCGTAAGATTTCAATAGCATTTGTCTTTCTTAAATATGATTTTGAGACCCCTAATCTATATACTTTTTTACTTAATTTTAAAAACGGTTTTTAAAACTAGATATTAGGTGTGGTCATTTCTCGGAAGGAAATGTTTAGATATCTAAAAATTCATAAAGACCAAATTTGCTTTCATCAGGTCTTGAAAAAAATGAAATTAAAGTGATAGTCAAACAAAAATCTATTTTAACACCATTTAAAAGTGCCAATTAAGTGTATAGATTGATTTTAACTTAAACACTGATTTGTTTGACAATACTATCTTTTTAATCATCATTAATATATAAATGAAATAATGTTTAGTTTATTAAGCCATCCGGGGTGATATTTAAAATACGGTTCATTTTTATTGATAATTACCAAAACTGATGCCCTATATCATTGTTTCTCAACCGTCTGTCTGCAGACCGATATCGGGTCGCAAGCATTTCCCGCAGGTCCTCAAACACTATTACCTTAAATTTGTAATTTATTCTTTCTTCCTACTTTTTAGCAAAAAGATTACAAAAATAAATTAATTAAAAACACTAATTTAATCTAATTAATTCCAGTAGCTATTTCCCGATCCTTCGTCATAATATTAACTAATTATTAGATTAATTGTCATAAATTGCTCCAACTTACCCAATCTTGATCTAATGATCGGATTTTTGCACACTGTAACTCCATGTTAGCAATTCGAGGTCCTAATCTTAAATATGCAGTTAAATAAATAATTAGTTACAAAATCAGACACAACAATGAACTTTCTCTAAATAAACATAAATTTTTTTAATGAATTTAGTTTCATGGTCCGCCGGCCAGGTGGCCGAGCGGTTAGCGTGCCTGACTGCGAAGCCATAGGCTGCGGGTTCGAATCCCGCTCTGGGCATGGATATTTCTTTCTCTTTGTGCTGTCCTCTGTTGTGTGTATGATGTGTGAATGTGGCCCACCCTATAAAAGGGTTTGTGGCATTGTGTCGTGGGAAATGTTGCTCGCCTCCGTGACTTTGGTTCACAGGTGCCCACTGGGTAACGCGAAATGAGCAACAATTCTGGCATAGTATAGGCAAAGATTCAAATTCAGTGCCTGCCATTCATGGTCCTTAATGTATGTCTAGTAGCTTAAGTCAGGAAAAAAATGGTCCCATTATTTAAGGCAGGAGAACGGTCGACAGCTTTTACTACTCAAAGAAACATTTCATTTTTTGAGCATTTCCCCTTCTAAAAGTATTCCAATTTTGAAGTTTTTATGATTCAAGAACTATTTAACTGATTCTTTTCAAAAGTTATATATTTTCATGTAACAGTATTAATTATATTAAATTAGTTTAAAGTAGTGTTTACCGTATAACTCAAACTTTTTTCGATCATTGGTAAATTATAAATAATAATAAAGTTGTTTATTTTATATAATTTTTTAAATTAAATTTTTATGTACTAAAAATAATTTTTTTACGTGGAATTATCTGTAGATAAACGAGTTTTATAATTTTGAACAAATATTTTTCGATTTGCTTTGGTAGTTTAATAGATATGACCCAGAAAAAGTACATTTCTGTGGCTGATTTCTTAATTTAAAATACCGTCTGTACAAATTAAGATAAAACCTGTCAATCATTACAATGAATCGTAGTACGCAAAAATCTTTTCATTAGATCAAAAGTTATGCAAGTTTTTTTTTTTTCACTTTTTAAGGAAAGTCGAATTCCTTGAACAATTTTTAAATGTAACTTTTCAATTTATTAGATTTCTTCAAACTTGAAAAAGTACGCATTTCAACTTAGAAATTCTGTAACTTTATTCCACAAAACTGGATGAAGTTACACCAAGATTTAACGCTCTCGGATGTTTTTTACATATTCCAACATGGGAAAGATAGATGAAGATGAGCAAAACGACTCTTATAGAAGATTATGTGAGTATTTTTTTCAAAATCATTCCCCACTAATTAACTAGATATTAATGGTTTTTCAAAACACCACTAACACCCAAGTATATCTTTAGTGATTAAGTTTCATAAGAGCTTTTTCATGTTTTGTAAAAGAAAAGCGAAGGTGGGACATATATCTTCCGCGTATGCATAGGAGATAGCAATTTTTGAGACTCAAATATAGCAATGAAGGCAAGTGAGGATATTAATTAACAATTCACAATCTGGAAAATAAAACCATTTAATAAGTATGAAACATGAAAAGGAATGTTAATGTAGAAAATAAGATACAAGATTACCGAAGATTCATTATTATACAAATATTTATTTTTTATGCCGCATGCTTAGATGACAATCTTTGCGCTTTTGGGGAAAGATTATTTCCAGAAATAAAAATAAAGCTATTTAAGTTGTTAAATTTTTTAGCACTTCATCCCATAATGATCAGGATTCCTATTTTCACTGTAAAAATTGGATATTCAAATTTCACGCAATTTTCTTCGTTTTTGACGAAAGTGTTTCCTGGTATACGCTCTGAGTAAATATTTTGTCAAAGTGACAAAATAACTATCGTTACTTCTTCACAGAAACAAATTTTGTTGAACAATTTGAGGTCAACAATTTGAAACAATTTGAGGTCATCTCCCTGACCACCATACGGTCGGTCGGCCAGTTACGTCATTCTAGTTTCGATCGTCTAGTCTTCATTCTGGTAAGCAATCTTCCACGAAACTCTGAGATGAGGTTTCGAGTTGAGGAAACTTTTTCGTCATAGATTTGAGATTTCTCCTTTCGTCACAAATTATGTGATTTCGTAACGAAATTATTCTCAAAATTAAAGAAAGACAGCTCAAGGGTTACCGAATCGCAAACGTGAGTTTTGTTTCAGAGAGTGTGTATGTTTGAATTAACTGCGTTTCGTGCTAACCAAAATCATTTAAAACCAAGAGTCAAATATTTAAGCATAGAGTTCGCTATAATTGGAAATAATCTTTCACATCAGTGTACGAATAAGCAACTATGCTTTAATTTCAATAGTTGTAATTTTTTATAGCTCAGAACGAAGGAAACGATACTCTTGCTAATTATGGATCTTGTGAACTTAATGTAGACATAGCAGCATCAGGTCATATAGAAAATGAATTCCAGGTGTTTAGTAGAGAAAGAAGTAAGTAAATGTAAAATCTTGATAAAGTATAAGTTAGTACACAGACTATAAGAATCACAGAGCATACATATAAGAAAAAAATTATAATTTTCTTCAAATTTTACGCAACCCGGAGATAATTCAAAATTTAATTTATATCACAAATTGAGCTTCAATTTTCTAAAAACAATAATGCTCATTTAAGTCAAAAAATAATTCGTATTTTTTTCAAACAAACCTGTTTAGTCTGAAACAAGTTATGTTCAAAACATACCTATTGCTGATATAAGGGCGAACACTTTGGGAAATTTTTATGATGTTTTCAAATCTATAAAGCATTTGAAAATTGTTTTTCATTATAAATTGAAAGTGAATTCACACAATATACTAGAAAATACTCCCATATGCCATGAAATATTTATCAAAAGTCTATTTTTTAAGAGCTTATTTAGTGTAAAAGGTGTGAACTTCAGCCTATACATTAGATGAGGTAGAACAATTTGTTTTTTGCCGCTCAAAAATTTTCTGAAATATTTTTTTTTTGTACTAAAAGGAGAATATCAATTACTGAGAAAATCATGTATGTCAGGAAATATATATATGAATGCTTTTTTAAAAACTTTGCAATAGTCTAAGAAATGCTAAACATACAGCATACATATCAGTATTATAAGAGAAGACATTTAGCGAATTCATTTTATAATTTTTTGTAAGAGTTTTTGATATTTATTTTATATTAAGACGCGAGCTTCAATATTTCATAAAATATGTATATATTTGAAGCAAATATGTGTGAAAATTAGTTTGATTAGTCCAAAAGATTAAGTCGGACCACATACATCGCGATTATAAAGAGAATGATTTGCGAATTTGTTATAGTTTTTTTTGCATAGCGGAAATCATTTAAAACTTGTTTAATATAAAAATGTGAGTGCTAATTTGTTAAAAAACAACCACATATTTAATGATTTATTTAAAATTTTTTTTAAAAGGCCTTTTAGCTCAAAACACGTTAACTTCAAATCATATATATTGCTACTATAAGGGACTTGGTGAATTTTTCATAATTTTTTGAAAAGCGTAAATCGTTTAAAACTTGTTTTATATTAAAGTGAACGTCAATTTGATACAAAATATTTATATATGTCAAGATATATTTAATAAAAAAGTTTATAAAAAAGAAAATATTCAATAAAAACGTTTGTTTAGTCCAGAAAATGCTAACTTCAGAGCATACATATCGCTAGAAAAAGAGTGGACAATTTGAAATTTTTTTTATAATTTTTTGCAAAGCGGAAATAGTTAGAAACTTGCTTTATAGAAAAAGTGAACGCTAATTTGTTAAAAAATACTCATATATTTAAAGAATTATTTAAACAAATTGTTTTCAAAAAACCTTGTTTAGTCCAAAAGACTAACGACTTCACATATCGCTGATGTAAGGAATGATAAGTCACGAATTTCTTATAATTTTCTGCAAGAAATAAATCCTTTGAAGTTTTTTTTTAAGTTATAAAGTACTGGTCAGTTTGTTAGAAAATACTCATATACGTCAGGAAATAATTTTAGAAATTTTTTTTTAAGAAAAAAGGCTTGTTTAGTCTTTGATGTATTAGCTTTAGAAAATAGGTATATCTTACATAAGGAGATCACTTAGCAAATTGTTTTATCATACTTCAAAGCATCAATTCAACATTTTCACATTTCAATTTTAGCAAATCGAATTTCAAAGCGTCAATCATTTGAATCTTATTTTACATTAAAGGAAGAGCGTCAATTTGATAAAAAAAACATTTAGGATTTTAAGGAAATATGTGAAGAAAAGTTTTAAAAAGTAGTCTACTAAGTCCATAAAATGCCATAAAAGTTAAAAGCATTCATATCACTTATGTAAGGGAATTTTTTAAACTTTTTTGAAACGAGGAAACCATTTTAAATTTGTTTTATATTAAAAAGTGAACATCAATTTGCAATAAAATATCCATATATGTCAAGAAATTTTATGGAAGTTTTTTGAAAAAAATTTTTAGTCTGAAAGATTCTAACTTTTGACCATACATATTCTTTTCAAAGGAAGAACATTTTTTAAATTTTTTATTGTCCATATATTTATAGAAATTTTTAAAAAAAATTTTCTGTTTAATTCAACATGTACTAACTTCAAAGCATATATATATTGCTGTTATTAGGGAGGACGAATTGCGAATTTTTTTGGGGTTTTTTGCAATGCGAAATCATTTGAAACTTCATTTATAATAAAAAAATTCGTGTCAGTGTGTTAGGAAAAAACCATACACGTCAAAAAATAATTATAAATCTTTTTCTTTTTAAAAAAAGGAGAAAAAAAAGCTTGTCTAATCTCAAACATGCAATGTTCAAGATATATAACATCACTAACCTAAGGGGAGCCTAACAATTTGAGAATTTTTTATATATTTTTTGAAAAGCGGAAATCATTTAAAACTTATTTCATATTAAAAAAAATGAGCGTCAATTTGTTGGAAAACACTTATGTATTTTAAGAAATATTTGTGAATTTTTTTTTTAAAGAAGCCTATTTAATTCAAAATATGCTTAGTTAAGAGATATTCATGAACTATCGAATAAATAGCAGCAAGAGACAGCTGTATTTAATTTAATTAAAAATGAACCTCAAAACTTTCAAATTTTTCCTTTTTTCTTTTATCAAAACATTAATCACTAGAAAAAAAACTATATTATTATTATTATTATTATTATTACATTATTATTATTATTTACTGCGAGAAACATGTTAAAAGAGTGAGTTGTATTCACCAAAATAAATTTATAAGTAGTTTATTTTAAATCTCGATTCAGTTTAAAAATTTCAAACAAGGGAAAAAAATCCTAAATTTAAGGTGGTAATTTGGTTACAGTAGCAATTAATATTTTTAAATTAACAATTAATTTACAGTGGAACTGTTAATTAATTGTTAAGAACTGTTTAACATATATGCCAGTACTTTTACTTTCGTTACTTGTACCGCCGGTACAAGTAAAAAGTACGTACTTTATCCTAATTCTCGTTACTTTTTAAATTTAGTACTTTTACTTGTACTTTCGTTACTTT